CGAAAAAGTTCTGGAGCATGCTGGGAAAAATCAGGTGTGTTTTTGTGAAAATTAGTTGGAAAACAAGATGTTAAGATTACTCTTTGTATTCCTCACTGAGATTTTTTGTCCATTTGCTAAACTAAAATTATGGCAATTTTATTTAATAAGTCCATTCATAGAAAGACAATACAAAAGATTGGTATAGAAGACCATTATAAGACTTAAGTATTTCTGTTAAACACTTATTTCACATCAAGCTCTTGTCTAAAAGATATAACAGAATACATGTAACAAAGATTTTGTATAAAGTTCTGATTCATCAAATGCTAAAAATAACTGATTGCATTGATACAGCTTTGATTTCATCAGATAATATTATTCTTAGAATTAACACGTTTAATTAAGGTACTGCTTATTTAGGTGTTGGTCTTTGTCCACTCGAGGAAGGAAACTGGGAAGACAGCTCGAGCGATCCGTGACATGTGTCTGGAGAAAGACTCCCTGGGGATGTTCCTTAAGGAGGGGTCAATCTCCACAGAGGTCCTCAGGACAGAGGCCGAACAGGTCAAGGTAAGGTCAAAAGAATATACTAATATTGGTCAAGGTAAGATCAAACATATATAGGTCAAAGAAATATAGGTCAAGGTTAAATTGTATAGAAATGGATTTCAAAATAACAATTAAGTGCTAAATTATTGCTATCCACAAGTGTAAACGTAATGTTTATATATGCATTCAATGATTAGTTTAGATAATTGTATGGAATGGAAACTTTCATCCCACATTTAAATAATTTTTTTGACAGAATTTAGAGCTCAAGGATTTACTGCCTTATGGTTTCGGGATCCATCATGCAGGAATGGCCAAGTAAGAGAAATATTAAAATTGTCTTTTCTTAGCCAGTCAATAGAATGATAGATGTTAATGTAATTCTATATTTTCATAGCACTAAGAAATGAAAATTAAGCATGTACAGAGGTTCTTCAGTTTAAGATATTGTGTTTAATGATATGTAATTGATATGTACATGTATATAATGAAGCCATAAGTGAACAAGTCCTCATATCAATGTAACTGTATAATTATGTTGTATTTAGGGTTGACCGAATCTTAGTGGAGGATTTGTTTGCTGACCGTCACATCCAGGTTTTGGTGTCCACATCCACCCTGGCCTGGGGGGTCAACCTGCCTGCCCACACGGTCATCATCAAGGGTACACAGATCTATAACCCAGAGAAGGGGCGCTGGGTGGAGCTCAGTGCTCTGGACGTGATGCAGGTGAGATATCCTTGTAATATTGCTGCAAAACTTTCCCTGTAGAAAAGCTAATAGGGAAGTCTCATGTATTCATTGCCTAGAAGCAAAGAGATCTTGTCTTTTAATGTTTTCTGATTGTGGACATAGGCTGTATATGTGATACTTGAATTGTAGATGTTTGGGAGAGCTGGACGACCTCAGTACGACACAAAGGGTGAAGGCATCATGATAACCAATCACAGTGAACTACAGTATTATCTGTCTCTGATGAACCAACAGGTCAGTCACATGATTATCACATGGTCATAGTGTCAGTGGGTTGATCAAAGTCACATGGAATAAATATACAGTGCATGGTTCAGCTTACCATTGACACAAATAATATTATTTCTTAAATTTTAGAAAATAATGAAAAATTCATACAACAGTGGACCTTCAGATATCCAAACGCCAGATATCTGGATGCTTCAGTATCCGAAAGTTTTTTCATTTGAACAGATTTTTTGAATGTTATTTTGTCTTGTTTAATTGGTGATTCAGGTATCTGGATGCTTCATATATCCGGACAAATTGACTGGGAACCTAAACGTCCGAATAAATGAGGTTCCACTGTATTTCAAAATCTTATTAGATATTACATTGCAAAAATGAGATAGATTTGCAGAAAGTAATAAGATTAACAATTGATTAAAAATTAAAAAAATGTGTCGTTTCTTCCAGTTGCCCATAGAGAGCCAGTTTATAAGTCGAGCGTCAGATTGTCTGAATGCTGAGTGTGTACTGGGAACTGTACAGTCTGTCAAGGAGGCAGTAGACTGGCTGGGTGAGTCTTAGTTAATAGTCAGTCTATAATACAGTGAAATCAGTGTTTTAGGGGGACCAGTGTTCGTGGATTTTGTGGGTTACCCATACCAACCAATTTACATCCCTATGAACAATAATCTTGTCAAAATATTTATTCATTTAATCCATACCTGTTACCCATGAAATTACATCCCTGAACATAAAACCTCACAAATTAAAATGATTCCACAGTACTTGAATGTATTTAAAATTGCAGAGGGTACAGTAGGACTTATTATACTGTTCATCCATCCACAGGATATACCTACTTGTATATAAGAATGCTGAGGGCCCCAGCCTTGTACGGAGTCAGTCATGACATGCTGAAGGATGACCCGCTGTTACAACAGAGGAGAAAAGATCTGATCCACACTGCTGCCATGACTCTGGATAAAAATAACCTGATAAAGTACGACAAGAAGACAGGACAGATTCAGAGTACAGAGTTAGGACGGATCGCCAGCCACTACTACTGTACAAACGAGACCATCGCCACCTACAACCAGCTCCTGAAACCCACACTCAGTGAGATCGAGCTGTTCCGAGTTTTCTCTCTGTCGTCCGAGTTCAAGCACATTGCTGTCAGGGAGGTGAGAAGATTGATTAAATAATGCAGTCACTGTTTCATCTTTTTTTGAAATAATAGAATATCTTCTTGTACATTTGCAAAAAAAGAATTTTGGTGTGGTGGGGGGGATTCACAGTATTCTTATCCAGTTGATATGCAGTGTATTTAAGGAAAAAGTCTAAATTTGTGTTTTACAGGAGGAGAAGTTAGAATTACTGAAGCTGTTGGAGAGAGTCCCCATCCCAATCAAAGAAAGCATTGAAGAACCTAGTGCTAAGGTAAGGCCAAACAAACATATCTCTGACCTAGTAACTCGTCTCGAAGGAAGCATTAAGGGATGTAATATAAATCTGTACCAAAGAAAGCATTGAGGAATGATACTTAAAATACATTTACTATACAGCATATTTGTAAACATGAACTGAACATGCATGTACATTGTATGCGTTATTTTGCTCTGTAGGATAATGTCTTGCTACAGGCCTGTATCTCCCAGCTGTCTCTTTACATTATATGTGATTACATTTTTTTGCCCTGTAGGTCAATGTCCTGCTCCAAGCCTACATCTCCCAGCTGAAGTTGGAGGGGTTTGCCCTGATGTCTGACATGGTGTTTGTGACTCAGTCTGCAGGCAGATTGATGAGGGCCATATTTGAAATAGTTCTACACAGAGGCTGGGCCCAGCTGGCAGATAAGGCCCTGGCCCTCTGTAAAATGGTCAATAAACGAATGTAAGTATTGACTGCCATTTAACAGTGAACTCTTAAAGTATTTAATAGCGAATTGTAATAGAACTCTTGACTCTGAATCAGTTCAATACAGGATGTATACAGGGGTGTGCAATTAGAAAAATCAATTACTAGCCCACGGGCTAGTGGCAGCTATATAGTTACTAGCCCTAAGTGAAAAGTTACTAACCCCAAAAGAGCAAAAATTAAAATAAAAAACTAATTTAGTATATGCTAAAAAGAAATAAATATTTGAAATTTAAGTCAAGGTACTGAATCATTCTTTTTAAAATCAAAGTTTAATTCTCACTATGAAATTAAATCATGTATAAATTATAATGAAAGAAGATTAAAATGAATTTTAAATAAATTATCTTCCCTTTTTTTCCTGAACATTGCACTAGCTCATTTAGAATGAAATTAAATTCATTTTGTTTTCATCTTAAATCACTAAATACATTATAAATATATTTTATGTGAGTCATAAAACACTTATCTTTTTTTGAGTTGATTGAGTGATCGTAAATAATCTAATAAGATATTTGCATTTATTTACCAAAAACGAAAGAATAGAGGAAATTCGGATTAGGAAAAAACGATCGTTTTTGGCAGTAAATAAGTCAAGTAGTGCTGCAAAACAGATAAGATTATGGAGATTTATTGAGAGTAGGAGCATGTTGTCAGAAAAAAATTCACTGGCTGGGAATTTGATAGCAAAAATGAGTGAAAATTCAGGTTGTACTTTTCATGTATTGTGTGTGTAGTTATAATTTTTACTAGCCCGACGGGCTACTTCCATGCAGAAAATAACTAGCCCGACCCCAAAAACCGGTAGCCCCGGGCGTCGGGCGAAGCTAATTGCACACCCCTGGATGTATACTATGGTATTGAAGAAAGGTCTTGTTTGAATGTACAGTAAAATTCAGTTATAACGAAGTCACTCTGACCTAAAAAATTACTATATTATGTTTTATTCGTTATATCCGTATAAGAAACTAGTTAAATTTATAAAGCTGGGTATCCAAAATAACTTCGTTATATCCATAAATTCGCAATATTCATGTTCGTACTAAACAAGTTTTGCTGTAATAGAGACTGAACTTTAATTGTTCAATAGAAATTAAACTTAATATTCATATTGTATGTGTTGCTTCAAAATTTTGGCAATAGTGATTTAAAAGACAGAATTTTTTATGATTGTAAGTTTAGTACATGCAAATATTTTTTAAAGTATGAGTGTTTCCTATGATTTATCTGTAGGTGGCAGAGTATGTGTCCCTTGAGACAGTTCCACGACAAGAAGATGCCCATTGAAGTTATCAAGAAAATCGAGAAGAAAAACTTCCCATTTGAACGTCTTTATGACCTTGATCCTTTGGAGATTGGAGAGTTCATCAGGGTACCCAAGAGTGGGAAGACCATCCATAAATATGTACACCTGTTCCCTAAGCTTGAGCTGTCTGTCCATGTCCAGCCGATCACCAGGGCCACCCTGAGGGTGGAACTGACCATCACCCCCGACTTCCAGTGGGACGAAAAAATTCACGGGTCTTCAGAGGTAGGATCAAAAAATAAAATGTTATGAACATGGTAAACAAACAGATTAGCTCAGTCAAAGTTTAGGGCAGTCATATATCACTGAGAATTGGACTGTAGTTTTTACTGAGATGTATAATTATAATCATATAACTGTTGCCCTGTCTATATCAAATAATACATGTTACCAGCTGAAGTATCAAACAAATACATTTGTTCTTTAATTAGACGTCTTTTCTGATATGACTAAGTAAGTAAGGTTGAAATGTTGAGTTTTGTGTTTGTCAGGCTTTCTGGATACTGGTGGAAGATGTGGACAGTGAAGTTATACTACACCACGAATACTTCTTACTCAAAAGGTTTGTTAAATAAGGACTAATTTTACAGACGGTGACAGACACATTTTCTGTTTTATGATGAGTATATATGTTACAAGTAGATACAGTAATATTGTTTTCTCTTTGCAGTAAATTTGCCCAGGATGAGCACGTGGTCAAGTTCTTTGTTCCTGTCTTTGAGCCTCTCCCTCCACAGTACTTCATCCGAGTCGTGTCTGACAGGTGGATAGGTCAGTTTTAAAAGTTTATTAATGAGTTCATCTTCTAAAGAGCCTGCATTAAGTATATGGGCACTTCATAGCAATTTTATTGTTATTTAGAGGAAAATATTAAACATGAAGTAAGTGAACAGCTCTGAATAATATCTTTAAAAACGTTTCAATAGACACATTGACCTTCTTTACAGGAGCGGAGACCCAGCTCCCGGTCTCATTCCGTCACCTGATCCTCCCGGAGAAGTACCCCCCACCCACAGAGTTACTGGACCTACAGCCCCTCCCCGTGTCCGCCCTCAGGAGCCCAGCATTTGAGAGTCTCTACAGTGACAGATTCCCGTTCTTTAATCCAATCCAGACTCAAGGTAAGATATGGAGAGTCTTTATGTTGATGATTTTTATTGTCAAGAAAATGTGCAGCAACTTAGAGGTGTGGTGTTACTTAATACTTAAATAAAAAGAAAAATGTTAAATGCAAGTACGTGTACAGTGCATATACAGATGTAGATGTTATTACAAACTATTTGATTTTCTGTGATTTTCACAGAGTTGGCCCCAGGATCATGAAGCATCTTAACTTAAGTCAAAATGCATACAGTGCTAACATTACTAAACCTAAAGCAGTCCAAAATTATAATGTTCTTCAATTTTGTATTAGCAATCTGCTGTCTTTTGCAAATGATTAGTTTCATTTAACAAGTTTTTAGCATTTTATTGATTATTGAAATTTTGACTTAAGGTAGGACAAAACACCCGTGGATTATATTTTAACCCATTTCTTAAAAAGTACTGGTGGAAAAAAGAATAATATTACTATATTGACAACAATGAATGATCCCTGAAAGAAAAATGATAAGTTTTGACATATTTGCGTTATATTTTGTGAAAAAATCAGAGAAACCTATATATTGGTCACTTGGGAGCTTACATTTTGGAATGTGTTTACGCTAACTAAGTGCAATAAACAAGCATGTAACAGTCTGTTATAAAATGCAGTGTAACTTTTGTTCCATAAATAATAGAGGGATGATATTTGGACACATATATGAGGAGTCTCTATTCTTTATGTACTACAAAGGTCAAGGTCATATCAAGAGGTTAAAGGTAAAATATTGTGACGTCATCTACTGAATCTTAAGTTTTTTTACCATTGAATTTTCTTTAATCGCCAAAATATCTGAAACCATCGGTTCAATTTTCTTTATTTTTACACATTTTATTTTAGGACCCATTTGAATCATTCTGTTGATTTTTTGTAAAAATTGAATTATACATTTTCTTTTAAGAAAACTTAAACTGTCGGATATTTACATGTGAATTTTCAATTTTCAACACAATGTATGTTCTATTTTACTTAATATTTTACCCAAATTTTCCAGTATCAATGTGACTTACTGATTTAAAGTAACAAAAAGGTTATCTTTATGAAAAGTATCACACAAATTTGCGATAGATCAATAGAAAATTCTAAAATAAGGCTCATTCTCAAGACGAATGTCTGATTTCACAATCTTCTAACAGGGGTGTGATAGGCCATATTTCAGACTATGTGGGCAAAAAATGTGCGGTTGAATTTCTTTCATATTATATATAAAGAGAGATTTTGTATCCAAGAACAAAATATCAAAGTTTCAGAAAAATTGAATTTGAGGAAAAATTTGACCTATCTATTTGGTCCTACCTTAAGTCTAAGTCTGTTTCATGATCCCGAGGCCTGGCGGTGTAAGGGTGTGTATGTACTTATAATATATAGATGTGGGCCATTTGTGCAGCCATTTTGCTGACTTATTGATATCCCTCATGGAAACAAGATTCTTGATACATTGTTAAACATTGTTGAGTTGGCTCGCGTAGCAAGCTACTTCCTGTCAACATAGCCGTTTCAGAGCTGTAAAATATTTCACGCATTCATCAAGGTGATCCATACGCCAATTATAATAGTTCTAGCAAAAAATGCTTTGGTTTTGAGTGATTGTATAAACTTAAGAGGTAAAAACTATATAAAATTTCATACTGTAACATTATTTTTGCCTCATATGCTTATGTTAAGAAATTTTTGATTAAATACCTGTAGGATGTAAAATTACTGCGTATGAATATATGTTAAAGCATGTTAGGCGGATCTAATCTTCCCATCTGAAGTTTATTTATAATTGACCTAGAATACTCCCTAACACAAACACCTGATGCTCTCATTAGCTGCAGCTAGTTGTTGTTGAAAATCTATTTTTAGAATCCAGATTTGCTGTGGGAATCTTTAACCTAATCATCCCATAACACTGACCACTTCAGCTAATGTGCTGAAATTCATTATAGAATCCAGTCTAAATAATACGGAAGCCCATTAGTGCCAACCTGTATAATATATAAAGGAAAAGCAATATACACTTTATTTATGAACCGAACGTGGATCAGACATATAATACCAGTATTCAATCTCTTAAGATGCAAAATAAACTGAATATATCAAGGTATGGTGCCAATATGTATGAAAAAGCTCAATTGACTCGAGCGAGTCAACTCGCAGGCCCTTCAGGCCTTTGATTAACATTGTGATTGTCATTGATTTCAGTGTTTAATGCTGTCTACCACACGGATGAGAATGTATTTATTGGGGCCCCCACGGGGAGTGGCAAGACCATCTGTGGAGAGTTCGCCATACTGAGGATGTTCTCCCAGAACCCTGACGGTCGATGTGTGTATGTCACCCCACTGGAGCCTCTTGCCCAACAGGTAACAGAGAATGAATGAGAGGAGAATGGTTCATATTTAACAAAAATTTTTAATCTATTATAACATACCGGTGACATCTGAATTTTCATAGACAAGTACAGTATCTCAAATAAAGTAAACTTCAGTATGATGACAGAATATTACAAGTAAGTGTTTAATACATTGTACTTCTCTTGATATATTTGATCCACTTGATTTGTTTGTTAGGTCTATACGGAGTGGTCTGCCAAGTTTGGAGGACAGCTTGGGAAGAAGGTGGTCCTACTCACTGGGGAAACAGGCACTGATCTCAAACTGCTAGCAAAGGTAAGGGACACCTGCTCTAAAGAAAACATATCTCCTACATATGAAATCATTTATGATAGCTTGTGTAGGCAGCAAAGTTTATAGATATATTGTTTGGTGTATATACATGTAGCTTTCTGACTTAAATCTATTTGGTAATGTTCAAAGAAGCAGTTAGTGATGAGAATTCATCATTATTTGTGTCCATGGAGGACATTATGATAACTGATTGTATTGTGTCATTTACAGGGAAATATTATTATCAGTACTCCCGAGATCTGGGATGTGTTGTCACGGCGATGGAAGGTCAGAAAGAACGTGCAGAGTGTCAACCTCTTTGTGGTGGATGAACTTCATCTGATTGGTCAGGAAGTTGGGGTCAGTAGGTCATGAATGAAAATACAGTATTTTCTTAATCAGTGAAATTCAAATTGTATGTTTCATCATTTTCTTTCCAATGAACTTATGAATTTAACACTGTTTGTTCACTTTGATGCCTTTTATGTAATATTTCTAATGTTTTCATAAAACTGAACACTGCCGACATTTAATTAGTAGGCCCTCTTCATATCCAGCATATGTACATGTATCTTCATTATTATCTTGTGTTTGAGCTTTTACTACTGTGACTTAAGCATTTGCAGGTGCTTGCTTTTAATCCACATAGATTAAGAGTCCTTGTAACACCTATTCTGTTCTTTATTGACAGCCGGTGTTAGAGGTAATCTGCTCCAGGATGCGTTACATGTCGGCTCATTTAGAACACACCATCCGTGTGGTGGCCCTCAGCTCCTCCATCTCTAATGCTAAGGATGTCTCCCAGTGGCTGGGCTGTACCCCCACGGGATTCTTCAACTTCCACCCCAATGTCAGGCCCGTCCCACTGGAACTACACATACAGGTAATAAAATAGATCTTTCCATTGTACATATACACATATCAAGGGGATTACATGTATGAATTAGAAATGAGGAGGTCACTGTAAACCTTTTGCTTTGCTAGGTGGAGCCCTGATTTGCTGGTTTAGTCAGAATGCTTAAATTAAAATTATTTATTACCTTAAAGTTTATAAATGTACATGTGAAGTTAAAAAATGTACATGTGAATTGATATTCAATATACAATGTATTTGATGAAAGTAGACCTGGTTGAATGTTTTTGAAAAGTAAGTGTAAAAACATGAAAAACGATGAAAATAAACTGAAAAGTAGAATTAAATTTCGTCTTTTCAGGGTTTGAACATCAGCCATAATCTCTCCAGAATCATTGCTATGGCGAAGCCCACGTATCAAGCCATCCTCCGTCATTCTCCAAGGAAACCTGTCATTGTGTTTGTGCCGTCACGGAAACAGACACGCTTGACTGCTATTGACATTTTGACCTTTAGTGCTGCGGAAATTCAGGTTGATTCTGAGACGCCACGGAGTCGATTCCTTCACGTGAAGGAGGAGGACATTCAGCCATTCCTGGAGAAAATATCGGATAAGGTACGAGAAACATAGTGTCTACTTTGGGTTGTATTTTGTTTGATGTACAATGTAAGCGGTATCTGATTATACCAGGATTGTAGAGAGGGTCCTTTTGTGTCTTTGTTGTGAATGAGAATTATTCAAGGATTTCTTTTTTTAATCAGAAGATCATCTGAGTTGTCACTTAGATATTTTATGTCTTTTATTACTCCTGTTCTAAGATACATGTATCTCAGGTCAAGAGTAGTAATATTTATCTTGTGTCTAAGAGTTGATTTGCTAATTAAAACAAGCAACATCTTTAAAATGTAAAAGGGCTTTAATTAAATTTTTTTAGCATGATTTAGTCATGTGATATCTTAAAAAAGTTTTCAAAAATTAAAAATTTCTAGACCTTTATTTTCAACTATGTTACTTAAAAACAGTGATGTATTAAGTAAATTGTTTGATTTTTAGACGCTGAAGGAGACTCTGAGTAACGGTGTGGGGTATCTCCACGAGGGTCTGTCTGACATCGAGAGGAAGGCGGTGGAAAACCTCTTCTCTAGCGGCGCCGTACAGGTGTTGGTGGCCTCCCGCAGTCTGGCCTGGGGGATGAGTGTCTCCGCCTACCTCGTCATTGTCATGGATACACAGTACTATGATGGCAAAACTCACTCGTAAGTTTCTACTGATACTAAAATTTATTTTGCTTATTAGTCAGTTTTGCATATCAGAACACACATGAATACAGGGCAAGCTGTGTGAAAAAAACAATGTCAGATTTTAAAATTTATTTCATATTGATACTGAGGTACAGTGTATATTGATAGGGTATAACAAAAGTTTGATAAGGACTTACAGAGTCACAATATTCATTGCATTTTAATGATTTGATCAGACAATTATTAGCAAATTCAAAGACACTGTAAAATATTTTCTATAAAAGAAACTCCAAGTCACCTAAATGATCTATTATTTACTGCAGGTATGAAGACTACCCTGTGCCTGATGTTTTACAGATGATTGGTCGAGCCAACCGACCCCTTCAGGACCAGGAAGGTAAATAGATGTTTTCTTACTCTTATATATTAGATAGAAGACATTGATATTTACAGTACCATAAATCTGGAAATTTTTACGTCGATTTTATTTTGTTAAGGTAATTCCACCCTCCTATGATGTCATAGGTTTTTACAAAATATGTAATTAGTTTAAATTCATACCTTATAGAAAAATATCTCTTGGAAGAATACTTTACAATAGGTGTAATGATAAATATTGTTTAGTTAAAGAATTTTAAAAATGCATATTTTCTACATTTAATCAATTATTCAATCTTTAAAAAATGTTTACAAGGGCAATAACTCCTTCTAAGGTCTCTTCATTCAGGCATTTGCTTTACTGTAAATTAGTTTACCTGATATTCCCAAAGTATCTTTTAAGTAGGAAATATTTAGGAACACTCAGCATCAGAATTATGCATTTTAACCAGTTTTTACATATTTTTCTCAAAACTGTTTACAAAAAATGTACAATTTTTTATGTTGACATACACTTCTGGTTATTTATGTTTCGCATCTTAAATAATATGGTGACCTATACATTTTTGGCAATAAATGGAAAGTTTAAAGTATATTGAATGAAAATGAATGCAGTTTTTGAACTTTGAACCTATAAAATTGTGAGGGTGGAAATTCCTTAATTGGGGTCAAAATGCTGTTGATTAATTTTTACGTTTCAAAATTTTGCGAATGACCACTGCTTTGTTTACATTTCTTATTGGTAATTTATTTTTAAGAAAAATATTTTTGTGAATGCAGTGAACTCTCAAATTTGCAAAAAATTTATCTAAAGCAAAAAATATCCAGATTTACGGTATATATTCCTGATACTTAGAAAATACTGTTATGTTATATTGTCACAGTGACAAAACCATGTTAATAAAGTGACCGACTTTTTACAGGTAAAGCTTTGATCATGTGTCAGAGTTCCAAGAAAGAGTTCTTCAAGAAATTCCTCTATGAACCCTTACCTGTGGAGGTAAATTTGATAGAAAAATCTGAAAATGTTTTCACCTCTATACTTGGTTATCTGCAAAATAGGAGTGTTTATAATGTTCACATTGTGTTACAGAGCCATTTAGACCACTGTTTACATGATCACTTCAATGCGGAGGTGGTAACCAAGACGATAGAAAACAAACAGGACGCAGTGGACTACTTGACCTGGACCTTCCTCTACAGAAGAATGACCCAGAATCCCAACTATTACAACCTACAAGGTACGAAAAAAGTTAAATTATAGAAATCATAAATGAGCACAGTCAAAAGTTACTAAACTAAGTACTTGTTCTCAACCATCAATAAAATAAGTGTATTTTTTGTTTACATGTAATTTATTTTTTAAGAAATTTGGGGGCGCCTTACATTAATTGTTGATTAGTGTTATCATTAATTAGTGAGATGTACATGATAGGCCTTGTAAGTATAACAAAATTTTAAAAAACTATAAAAGTCTTGTAGAGGTCAGATCTACTTATGACTGTCTAATTGTTGATGTCGCCTAACTAAGCCAGTGTGATCAGTATTCACTATGAATTTTTTCTTTGATATTCCATGATGTGCTATTTTACTTACATTTTATCTAATATAAGATCTTCTGATTATTTGTAGGTGTCACACACAGACATTTGTCTGATCATTTATCTGAGTTGGTAGAGAATACAGTATCAGATTTGGAACAGTCTAAGGTAAAAACTCACCTCAGGTCAAGTGGTCATCAGCTGATTCAGAGAGATAATGGAGTACAATTGTCTTCATAAATTCATGTTTAAACAATGGTCAATCGTGAAGTCCTTTATTTCTTTATAAAGAGTTATGGTTAAACAATAAAATATGCAAATTTTCATGAAGCTCATACATACAGGAAGTCAAAAATATGAATTAAATCTAAAAAAAAAACTCAGCTCCTTTTTAAAGAATTGTTAGCAGTGAAACTGATTCAAATTTAAAGCTACAGAGTAAGAAAATTGGAAGAGGTACTTAAAGTGATCGATGTACATCTACAGAGTTGTGTTTGTTTACAGTGTATCAGTATTGAGGATGAGATGGACATGACTCCACTGAACCTGGGTATGATAGCAGCTTACTACTACATCAACTACACCACCATAGGTAAATCTTGTTATACAGTCATATAGCTTATTTCAGAGGTCAAGTGCTAAAATGATAAATTACTTGTTGTTAGAATAATCTAACTTGTAAATTATGTTATGATTTTAAAAAGTACATGTATCTTTTGCAGTGTCTGAACTTCATTCAGTTAATTTGAAATAAATAAATTTTTTTATAACATAATTTACTTATTCATATTTTATATCCTCAGAGGTCCTTGACCTTAGCGGAATTTACAAAATACACACCCAATATTCCAAATGGGATATGTGACTTCTGTTGACTTAATATAAACAATGTGTGCCGTAGCACCAATACAGTTAAGATAGGACGTAAGAAAAAAATGTCAGATATTTTCTTTGTTAACATATGCGGTAATAGCGAATTTATGCTAAGTAAGGGGAAATTTTGTTTATTCTAATTATACTTTTGTCTGCTATCAACCATATCATCTTCAGCAGCTGAAAATATGACAAAATCAATCCAAATAATTTTTTTCTGACGATGTGATGCAGCAGGGGATCAAAATCTTGCAAGATATTCAAGAAAAATGAAAGGTGCAGGACTCTAGAACCGCAACGAATTTAAGGCCTCCTACCTTATTGCTCTAAAGAACTTCTGAAAATATATTCTCATAATTATTAATAGCATTGTCTCACTTCTTTTACAGAGACCTTCAGTCTGTCCCTGAACAACAAGACTAAGATAAAGGGACTCCTGGAGATTGTATCTAATGCCGCTGAGTATGAAGATGTTCCCATCAGGCATCACGAGGAGGCCATCTTAAAATCGGTAAGTCAGATCACACAGATTTTTTTGTACATTTACCAGAAATAAATAAATTTAATAAAGTGAGGTTGTTTGGGAAGTTTTTTGTAACTACCTTGTACCTATGTCAGTAGTCAGTGTTAAGTAGAATAGATAGATTGATATTTTGTTTAAGCTAACATTTGAATTGCATACAAATACACGTATAAAACATCTGAATATCAACACAATCCTATTTCATTTATTCCAGCTGGCGAGTCGTCTGCCGAATAAACTGTCCAATCAGAAGTATAACGATCCTCACGTGAAGACGAATCTCCTACTCCAGGCTCACCTGTCACGCATGCAACTGTCTGCAGAACTCCAGTCTGACACCGAGGATATACTCAGCAAGGTACACAATAATGGGGGAATGTGTAATGAATATTTTGTTTGTGTGGAAGGGGGGAGAATGGATGGGGGCTTGAGAGACCTAGGAAGTCAAACTGAATTTTAAAAATGAAGAGCATCATTTTTTTTTTTATTTGTACACAGGATATCAAGAAATGTTGTTTTGATCTTTCACAAATCTGCATGTTAGAAATGAAAAAAAAATAATCTTCTGATAACTTTAATTTGATTTTATCAGTGTACCATCTATCTGTATTACACAGTATATTTATCTGCTTGTTTTATTAAGGCTATCCGGCTGATCCAGGCCTGTGTGGACGTCCTGAGCAGTAACGGTTGGCTGAGCCCGGCCCTAGCGGCTATGGAGCTGGCTCAGATGGTGACCCAGGCCATGTGGGGCAAGGACTCCTATCTCAAACAGCTACCCCACTTTACAACGGAGCTCATCAAAAAGTGTCAGGAAAAGGTAAGAATTCTGTCTAATGACTTTGTTCTTTAGCACGATACAAATTGTAATTTTAAACATTTGAACTTGACTAAAGAAGAAAATTTTAAATGAATCTCCAACTACATTTACTTTGAAGACAAGATAGGAAAATCTGTACAACCCAGTTTATTTCAGCATTTATCAAGAGTTATTTTTTTTTCTTTGTAGAAAATTGAGAGCATTTTTGATGTGATGGAGATGGAGGATGATGATAGAAATGAACTCCTACAGATGACGGAGGAACAAATGGCTGACGTGGCCAGGTTCTGTAACAAGTACCCTAACATAGAGATGTCATTCGAGGTCCAGGAAAAGGAGAGTCTTCACAGGTAAGGGGAGGGAAACTGTGTGAAACACTGTATGTTGTGGTCTTCACACAATGAGAAAAAAGTAAACTTGAACTGTTACTTAATCATACATTTTGTACAACCTGTGGACAACCTACTATATCTGCTAAAAAGTCTGATATTTACGCATATAAAAGTTTACAATTTTTGAACATTTCCTACTGTTTAACACCAGCATGTCTATGGAGAATAAATGTGTTGATTTATCATTATCTATCTGTTTGCAGTGGTTCCCCAGTCAATGTGCTGGTGTCCCTAGAGAGAGAAGATGAATTAGTGGGACCAGTGGTGGCCCCATTCTTTCCTCAGGTGAATGTTTGACTTGTCACTTATTTTCATATAATGTTAAAACTAAAAATTTGATAAAGTAATTTATTCATGAAATGATAAATTAGTTGCCTGAAGCATTTTTCCAGGATATACTCGGAAATTCCAAAATTTATTCTAGTATTTGTTTTCTTTTATCAGAAACGAGAGGAGGGTTGGTGGGTAGTAATTGGAGACAACAAATCTAACTCCCTCCTGTCCATCAGAAGATTGACCTTGCAGCAGAAGGCCAAGGTCAAGCTGGACTTTGTGGCCCCTTCCCCTGGTCATTATAACTACACCATCTTCTTTATGAGTGACGCCTACATGGGGTGTGACCAGGAATACAAGTTCAGCATTGACGTGAAAGAAGGAGATAGTGAAAGTGAAAGTGACAGCGATTAGATCAGCTGATCAGAAAGTGAAAATAATAATGTGGTGGAGGAAAAATGAGGAATAATTATGTGTAAAAACCATAGTACAGAATAGAAAAGTGAAGCAAGAATTCTTTAAAAGTTATAATATGAAAGGAGGATTGGAAAGAAATAGAGTCTTGAGATGGAAATCATGATGGTGATTTCAGATCTATAAACTAAATGAGACTAGTTAATATGAAAAAAAAACTT